GTCTTGAGAGGAATCCGAATCCATTCGGTTTAAAGGTTGATGCTGCATAGTGTAGTTACTGCACAAAGCAGTTTGAGCCCTCAGCTCCAGAAGTATAACTTGTAGAACCGTCCAACCCCCTCTAACTCCGAAACCGTTGTGGTTGTGGGGATTAAGATTGACAATTGAAGGGTGTGGGTTTGATCAATCCGTACCCTAAACCCCTCAACTCAGAGACACTCCGGCTGCCGCTTTAAGATTCAACACATAATACACGGGGCCTCGATAACCAATCAACGCCGATTTTGGGGGATATAATTCTACACGGACTGAGTAAGGGCATCCCATTCCTCGTAGTTTAGGCACCTGTATGAGATCAGGGTTAGGGTTCCCGAGAAGCGCACCATCGAACGCCAAGCTTGGTGGATGCCCGTCCTTCGCCATGAGAATTGACAAGACGGGGATCTCCCAGACACGGAAGCAAATCTTATTCTTGGAGAACCTCGAGCTTAGACCTGTAGATTAATTTGAGGTTGGCGGCTTCAGGGTACATGGAATCCCCGCTGTGTATTCCTGATTATGTGTTGGGGACACGAGTTCAGTGCCGGTCGGAGGCAAAGTTCGTGGGTGATCGGCGTGCTCAGCCGTGAAGCGCCAAGTATGCTGTGTTTGCAACATAAAATTGATTCTGCTCCTCATGTGTAAGTACCGTCCACCGGCTGAACCTTCAACCCCGAACAGTATTTCATAGTGCAGCGCATAGCCTGGGGAAGACTGCGCACCTGCGTCTTTACTTGCCGCTAGAGTCGGCTGGAGGCACAGACACACTTCCACAAATCGAAAAGCGCAGGAACAATGGTGAGCCGCACCTGGTAGCCAGAGGAGAAGAGATCGTGCTGGATGGTCTCGGACACATCCGTGTCCAAGCAGTCGCTATCTCGCAGGGGCGGACACGGACGACATGCTGTGTGACCTATTCTTGAGAGATCCACATCCATAAACTTGAACCCTGAACTCTACACTGGATACCTTTATGCAGTGCTGGGCCTGCAGACTTACTGTTCAAGCACTTCAGCTCATGGCACTCGCAGAGGAGCACCTTACAGACCTTACAGAAGGCCTGTTTACAAAGACCAGAAAAAACTCAACCCGAAATTCCAAAACCCAAACCCTAAAAGCAACAATTCCAAAGCCTGAAGGCCTAAAGCCAGGGCCTTCATGGAGAGCCAATTCTTGCACGGCCCATCGCTCCGGTGGAGCCTCGCAGTTTTTACTGTTTCTGAGCACCTCTCTGGGGGGATACTTGCACAACCCATAACAAAAGTAGTATATCCTACTGTAGAAACCCTCTGTTGTACGAGAAAGAAAGCCTTCAAAAGGCTTTTGAGAGTGACTTTCTTCATAGGATTTCGCGCGGGGCTCTATGACACTTCATGAGGGGTCTTTTCGGTTGCATAAGGGGTTTCAGCGATGGGTCTTGTAAAACAAATCTGCCGGTGCTACGAGGGTTTCTTTGGAAGCTCATAAACGGCTTGATACGGTTCTAGAGCGGTTTGAAAGCATGTGTGTGACGGGCTTTGATTAGTCGGATGTCATAAGGGGCGTTCTCGAGCTATTTGTCAGCGCCAGCACTTCGGGGTGGTCGGGGTTGTGGGCTTTGTGGAATTGCCGTGGGGCTGCCTGGGTTGCAGGCTCAGCAAATGGCGTCTGGAGTCCGCGCAGTTAGGGGCAATGCGCACTCCTGATTAGCAAGCCTCCTTTCAACAAGGTTCCAATAGGGTTCCAAATATTCGTAAGCGCGGAGTAGTGGTTCCCACATCGTGATACTATAGGGATCTATATATGGGCTTTAGGATGGCGTCTGCTAAAAACGGCGGAATTGGCCGCTTCACTTCTTTCGTGAGGGCCTTAAACGGCCCCAACCCCGAGACGACTGGCAGACCGATAACCCAAAATGCCCCAAGCCATTGAATCCAAAGACTGCTTGCCGGGGCACTTCAAGAGACCTCAGGCGCCACATTCGATTTGGTCTTGGCCTCTGGAGCGGGCTACGAGCTTTGGGGGCTTTAGGGTTCACAGTTTTGTGGAATCAGAATGTAGAAGTCGGGGCTTAGCTCTATGGAGGCATTGAGGTTGTGATCCTGCTAGGGCTCTTTAGTGGACCGCCCCAAATAACCAGCAGATCCCAACGCACATCAAAACACCAGAAACGCTACCCGACAAAAACTCAAGGCAGGACCAGGATATACCAGGATCGCATGTTGAGCACTGTCTTTACCTGTTTGTTCTGTTTGATGTTGATGGGCGGGCTCAAAAAATTGATTGAGGGGGGAGGGGTAGAGCTTTAGGATTTGGCTGTGTATGTTCTGGGTCTGGGGGGTTAGGACCTTATGGGTTGAGGGTGTGATTTTGGTTCGCCAATGCTGTCGAGGAGACAGGGTTTCTTCGAGTGAGGGAGGGGTCCTGGAAAAAAAACTGAAGCCTGCAATCTGAAATAGTATAGGGCCTCAATAGTTTCAATATGGCTTTGGGGCCCTTCTACTAGACTGATCTAAGGAACGGCAATTAATTATTCAGGCCCCTATGGTACATTAACCCGTTCAGTCCCTAACTGCTTCCTTGGAAGCCCCAAACCTGACTTCTTTTCAGCATGGCTTGGATTGTGTGCCAGCGAACACTCCTCAACCCAAACCTCAATTCAAAACCAAGAAGCCTAGACCAAAATTCACCCAATCCTTAACCCTTGAAACTTGAAACACAAAAGCCGCATTATCAGTAAAGACCTGAACTCAAATCCCGTTTGCTTCGTCTTGTCTGTTTCCTCTTGATCGGATTGGTTCTGAATGCAGCCGATAGTAGGGCAACCCTTGCAAGTCTAATTAGGAATGTTCAATTCTGACGAGGACCGCAACCTTTTCGCTGCAGCTTTCTTGCACTCCAGTTGAATACATTACCGAAGCCAATTGCGTTCTAAACCTCAGCAAGCAAAACCGACAATTCCTAAGGACACACCAGCGATTGGCTCCGGACAGCGAATAGATTTCCAGCGCCTGAGTCCAAAGATTTCGGCGCTCATGGTAACAAACGGTCACAGAGCAAACCCCCAAATCTGAACCCCGAACAACCCTTCAGGTGAAAAGCCGAGCTTCCTTAAACCCCCTATGAAGCCAAATAAACCACTGAACCCGAAACTCCTTCAAACTGTTGCATCCTGAAGCCCTGATTCCCACATCCGATACCCTAGGCTCTTAGTCTGACACCCTGGCCGTGGAATGCCCTGGAGCAGCAAAACCCAAGACACTGGAGACCTTACACCTGAATGCCCGAAAACGCAGTGTTAGTGTAGGTCTTCACCCGGCCAGCCTGGTCTTACCGGCAAAAGCAAACGAAGCCCAAATCATCTCAGTCTCCAGGTCAAGCTTGGGAACATCTCTTCAAGTAGCCTGACTAGGAAACAACCACAGCATCACCGAATCAATTGCACATGTCACGGAATCCTGAAGCATCTTACGGCCTTTTGCCATTCGCAGTAAGCTTCCCTGGCTCAATACGCATGCGAGGCACAATCAGTAGACGTTTCGTGGCAAGTTGGACCAGGCTAGATTGCGCACCAGCCATGGAGCTACACACGGGAAATCAGGAAGTATGTCGAAGGGTCTCGGTTTGAAGCTCGACTGATGCACAGCGATGCCCGCACGGATTTGATTTCAGTGCAGTGCTTCGAGAAGACTTCTAGACGTACACATCTCGCACCAACCCGAACATAGCGATGCAATGAAATTGCCTGCAACCGGAGAGGAAAGGGAGGGTCGCATGCTTATTCGGTCGAGGCTTGAGGCTCATGCGAATTATGCTCAACACACAATATGGGAGTTTCCGAAGATGAGGGGTACCTTATTTTGGGTTCTTATCATAAGGATCCTACTATTTAGGGTCCTATATTAGGGTCCCCTATTGTTCGAAACCCCCATATGAGGTCGGTTGCCTGTTTTTCTGCGACAGCAAGCGTCAAACGACAGTCTACACATTCGATTAGAGCTGCGTGTGCTTCATGCATGGGCAGGGTACACTTGCCGAAAAGCTAGCCCTAATTCTTCTTCTCGATGTATCGGCATCATGCCAAATACATTAATCCCAAGCGAACTTATTTTTGTCGTTGAAGCACAAATTAAGCGACACCGGCCGAATTCAGGTTTGTTCTGCTGCCGTGCAAGTCCACGTACAAGATGCTGAATCTAAATCCTGTTCGCGGTGATGCCAAGAAAGCCACAGCTCTTAGCATCTATCCGTTCCCCCGACATGGAAAGTTTGGCTTAGGGATGTTTAGCGCGTAAAGCTTTGGGTTACTGGGGCCAGTCCATTAAACTCTGCAGCTGGAATCCAACAAACCCTCATCTCTCCCCAATCGCTGTATGCGAGCACACGCTGCGGCTGCGACCTGTACAATTCCTGGTCCGTTCTCTGGAAAATACGGACACCAGAGCGCCAAAGGGATGGCTCAATACAACATCCTGAAGGCAACTCTACGGTTTCAGCATAATCCTCAAACCCGAACACCGAACCCAAACCATCTGGGTCGCCCCTGCCAGGTGCAAAGGTCTATGTCAGCTATGCCAGAAGCTTCGATAAACACTGGAATCAACGTAGTCGTCAATGATCCATCCCTCATTGCGCTTCATCTGCATCTGGGCTGCATGCAGCAAGCACCCAGTCTGCGGCTGAATTCCGCCCTGGCCAAAGGCCCCCCAGCCCTGCCCACCTACGACCAATGTACGGTCCAGTTCAGGCTCAGACGAATGACGAGATTCTTTTCAGCATGGGCTTGGATTATGCGCCAGCGAACACACCCTAAACCCTCTTACACCTGACTATGCATATGCCCACACGGCTACCCCAGGTTGCAAACACTGATCAACCGGTATGTAGTTACAGCAAAAAACATGATCCCTAAACCCTAAACCCCTAAACCACTACAACAAAAGCCCTTCGAGCTGTCCTCGGCAAGAGAATGGGGCGGCCGATCACTCGAAGTCTTCGAAGCTTTGAGGGCGCCGCCGAGCTGTGGGCGTCAAGGAATAGACACCGGCGACTTCGGTCTCCTCCATGATTTGCTAGGGTTGAGTTTAGGGGATTCTATTTTTATGTTGGTGTTCCTCCATGGTTTTCTAGGGTTGAGTTTATTAGGGAATTCTAGTTCTTGTTTTTTTGTGTGTGGTTGGTTTAGGGTTTAATTTGGGGATTTTAGGGTTCAGGGGCTAGGGCTAGGGGTCTAGGGCTTATGTAGTTGAGGGCTTATGGGGTTTATTCTAAGGAGTCGTTTTCCATCCTAGCTTAGCAAGGACCATACCCGCATTGCACGGCAGCTGTTGCCTCTAGGGTTGAGGGCTTACGGAGGTTCAGAGTTTCGGGGGTGCGGCTTCTTCACGTAAGGGCTGTTCATGAAGGGCTCCTCCGTAGTAAGTTTATGAGAACTGCTGAGTTCGGCCAGGGAATCACCTGGAAAAGGCTTGTTCGCAGTTTTAGGAATTCGTCTTGACGGATTTCTGCAATTTGATATTGTCAAACATTCTGAAACCCGAACCCTTAATCCCAAACTTACGAGGCCCTAAACTCACTCATGATCCACAACTGTACGTCGGCAAGTCGGTCATCGAAAAGGCTTGCGCGAATTGGGGATGTCGGCTTAATGGGCTTTGCAGCTTCAAGCAGTTACAATAAGATTCCGAGCTTTCCGGTTGCTACTGTTTCAGGTTTAAGGTGTAAAGGACTCAAGCTCTTGGGCTTAGAATCTGGAGGCTCCGACTGCGATCGCTTATTCCAGGGGCTGATATCCAACAAGAAGGGCTTTGTCCTCCATCCCGTCTTTCCGGGAATCCTGAGCCCATAAGGCTAAGGCTCCATGTACCTGTATGATATACTACTTGGCCCTAAAGTGCCTATATAGAAACCCCTTAAAGCCTAAGTATATATATATATATATATATATACACTCTATGGATACATGGAGCCTCAAAAACCTGACCCCTCAACCCACGCCAGTCCGCATCGAAGAGGGCCGAGCCGAAAGACACAGCTTCGAGGATTAGCCGCCGCAGGCTGTCCTCAGCAACTTACCTACCCTATAAGGGTTTGTACAAGGGATCTGTCTAGAAGGGTACTATAATATAGGGGCCTTAATAATCCTATAACTTACCTTTGGATAGTAGGGAATGGAAGAATGGTAGTAATAGCAGTTATAATTGTACCGCTGTACCCCATTACTCCATTCCCTACTAACCAAAGGTAAGGCAAACGGTCCGACTAGACGCTCTTCAACCACAAGCCCTGCGCTGGCGGGAGGAGAGAATTAGCGGTTCAGTTTCAAGGGTCCTTGCAAGAGGGACCCGATAATTCTGGTAAACCCCGTTTACGGTAAGTTCAAGTTTTCGTGATCAACGTGCGCGTGCGTCTGCTCCCCGACCAGCCCTGAAGTCAACCTCCGGCCCAACTCAACGACAACCTTGGGGTAGCAGGCTGCTTGGTTTGGAAGATGGCAAAAATACAAAACACACTACTCCAGAACTAGAGGGCTTAACATAGAACGCAGTCTTTCCACCTGACCCGCCGCGCCCTGTCTCCGCTGAGGAAACATGCGCGGCTGAGTCTTTTCGCTAGCCCGCTCAGGGTCTGCGGGCTTTCTTGTACTTATTGGATACCTATTTGTCTGTCTTCGGCGATGTGTGTGTTGTATACATACATGCGGGTTCCCACTTGGCTCACCCTCTATCTCATGCACCTTTACCTGCTTCCCCGAGTGGCTACATGCATTTATGGAGCCTAAAACTTGCACAACGCGCATTACACTACATAACTCAGGCTCGCAACCGAAAGCCGTCAATCCTGAACTCAAACTCTGAATGTAAGAACTGATAAGGTCTCTTGTTCCACAACGCAAACCAAGCATTTTAGACCTGCGAGGTGTAGAAAGCTTCCAAGCGTCGTAGCTGACGCTGATGGACTGGATCTTGCCCCTTGGCAGCAGAATAGAAGGCTGCTGGGCTTAAGGATCCGACCCGTTGAAAGTTTGAGGACTCGTTTCTAAGTTGGTGGACGAAGAGGGCTTCGAGGCTTGGGTTTTGAAGATCCGAACCCAACACATATGCATCCTCCGCTAACTGCGCTGTCGTGCCGCAAGGCTGTCGTCATCGCATACTAGTGCACTACGCTTACGCTCACGGGACGCGCGCGCGAACATGTATAATCGAATCACTCATGGCTCACTTGTCATGTTTTCCCAACCGCCTGCCTCTGTGGGTTCGCCTCGGGCTCCAGCTACCGAAAAATATGAAGCAGGACGCTTACCATCCATATTCTAACAGAGTGAATGATTCAGGGTATGTGAAGCCCTGGGGTTACTTTCCTGGCAGTTGCACCCTATAAACCCTTTTCCCCTTCCCAAAAACCTAATAAACTGCCAAGCTACGACATCACAGCCTCCTGGAGCAACTCTGTTGCCTCTTCGTCGTTGCGGGCCCCCTGGTCGCAGAAAAAGATCTTGAAAGTAGCCCTGACTAGAACCCTTATAGGGATCCCAGCATGCAGCTGGCATCACATGCCAGCGACGTCAACCGAAGCCGTCTATTCAATACAAGCGCCCTGCGAGTTAAAAACGGGCGTTGAGGACATATTCGTACAAGGTAAGCAAGGAACCACAAGGGAACATCATTTCTGATTTAATAATTCGGCCTCTATATTCGCTTCATAGGATCCCCAAACCCGACCCGATCAACCCGAAAGCTCTTCGTAAACCCCGACCTCCAAAATGCATGGACCCAGTCGGCTCCATTGCAGTTCCATAGGGGACCCTCATATAGTACCCTTAACAGTAGGATCCGTATTATAAGGGTCCCAAAATAAGGTACCCCTCATTTTCGGAAATCCCTCATAAGAGCCTCAGTATGAACCACAAAAAAGCAACTGCAGCGGAGCCTAAAGGTAGGTAGATAGAAACCCAGGGAAAAGCCGACATGTGCCTCAGGCTGCCTGAACTTCCCTAACACGAATCGCGACTCTCTGCAACACCAGTTCCCCTATGTTATGCTATATTTTGTGATAACGAACTCCCCAAAACCCTATTCAATTTTTCGGTACACTACTTAGAAGCAGGGTTACATATACCTCCAACCTCAGAAGCCCCATGCTCCAAGAACACTTGGCAACTGGCCTTATTATATAAGGGCTTGAGGGCGATGATGCTCCTAGCATTCCTAACTTGTTGACAGTTATATACTGTAGAGATCAACACGCCTCGATGGCTTTCATGAGCCGACTCTTCAGATCACGAAGATTGCCGAAAAGCGCCTGGGTTTAGCTCGTAGCTGTTGTTTCCGTTGGGGTGCTTGGGGAGGATTTTGGGCCTCAAATAGATCGAGAACTTAGGTTTTTAATTCCAATGCAAGGACGCAATAAGCTCTTGAGCTCGAAAGGATCGTAGGGTCCAGGATTCCACATTACGCGGGGTTCAAGGTTCAGGGTCGGGCGTGTAGGTTGTAATGGCCACTGGAACGCGGGATGGGCTCGGGACTAGTGTAGATTAGCATATTTGGGTCTGGGATCGACGCTTCAGGTTCTCAAGTTTGGAGTTGAAGTGCGGTTTGCCTCGAAGGCATTTCGCTGCTCGTTGTGTGCATCTTGCTTGAATTTTGGGCTTCAGCTGTTTGGCTTTGCAGCTTCTGCAATTCCGGATTTTGTGGCTGGACGGAATCAGACCGAAGTTAAAGCCTTTCCGGATTGATCAAAATATCCTGTAGGTTGCAGGAATCATGGGTATAGTTGTTGACACTGTCACTGTACGACCCACTCGGCACGATGATGTGGCACAAGCTGGTGCAGTGGGCTCTAATCGTTCTTCTGGCGCGGTCCGGGCAGCATTGGGCATTGCTTAAAGGCTCCATCTCAATGTTTTTTTGTTAAGCAAACCCCTTAACCGAAAACCACGGTACGCTTGCAACCCCTGAGCCGGCACTTGAAAGGATGATAGGCACTGTCAAAAATCGGTGATAGTTCACAATCATGGCTAGCTACTGCGGAAAGTGTCGTCACAGCTACAGATGACCCAAACCTGCAACTTCACTTCTGACTTATAAATTAACTGCTCGCGAAATCTCTGTCGACTTGGGGTGTTTGGTTTTAGGACTGGCATTCATCCTTCGTAGTGCCGACATAGCTAACCCCGAAATCCCAAGCCCGAGTCGATATGTGATTAACCTACAAGATTTGGGATCATGATGATTCGTAATACATTTCAACTTTTTGTTTGAAGGGGGGGCGGTGTGTGTGTGTGTGTGAATTTAAAACACCCTATCTTGAACTGCTGGCAGCATCACTACTAAGCCCATGTGGGCATGGTACCGGGACCCTATAACGGATGCCGCAATGTGATCCCAAGGAGGAACCTTGTGCTTCTCGTTAGTGAGGCTGTTGCCTAAGTAACCTTGACAGTGCTTTTGTTGAATTAAGTCGGCCGGCTACAAACGAAGCATCTGGACATGTTCGTACATAGGATCCGCCCTTCTCCCCAATAAGGGAAACACAAGATGTCCCCGTGGCATTCCCCCCAAAAAGCCCGCGAAATCTTTCAAAGCACTCTCGGAAGATAAGCGAGCCTGAAGCAGGATGCTCACTTATAGGACCCCAAACCTAGGCACCCGTTTAGTTTCAGACACACCAATGTAAAACGCCAAAAGCTGCCCACACAACCTTTGTAAAACTCCAGTCTGGTTGTGGGTTCAAGGTTTAGAGTTATAAACAACTTGTAGCCGAATATTTTTCACCTTGTATAAGACCCTACCTAGTCCCCATTGTAGTCCCTTTTTTGGTTAACCAGTTGTATGGTTGGGACCCTACAAAAGAGATTTTGGTTCATCAAGGGAACTACAATGGAGACTATAGGTACCATACCCTAAACCCTAAAGATCCCTTATAGGAGCATCCCTTTAAAGGGACCCTAAAAACCCTAAAAGGCAACCCCCAAAAAGGAGTGCCACAGAGGAGCTCCAATCTGGATTTCCAGCGTGTACCGTGCTTCTGCGGAGGCGACGGTCCTCCCCAGCGGCCGGCTGGCTCTGTTCTTCAATAACCGGGGCCAAAAAAGTTCAAACTTTCTGAGGTAGACTATATACATAAGGCCAAAAAACTTAAAGTTCTCCCATTGGCTAAGTGTGATGGCCCCAAGAAGCCCCGCATGCTGTCTGTTCTACAGATGTAGGGATTGTATCTATGTACGTTATATGGTGAGCCCAAAGAACCCGATCTTTTTTATCCTGGTGCATCGATGGGGTGTAAGTATATATAGACTTGATACGCCCAAAGAAGCTAAATCCTGCATTCAAAACCTTGAGCCTGCGAAGGGATTGCACACGGACTTGATGATGTAGGCGAAAACCGAGACACTCTTGAGTGCCCGCGGTTGCGATTGAACCAGAATATGTTAGCTAGAGCTGTTGCGGATTCACTTCTGCGATCCCAGAGTAGCGTCTACCTAGCGAGACCTTCCATGTAAACCTTGCAAAGCTCAGGATCATGGTCTTTGTCGAGAACGTTTAGGTGTTTTCTGGGATGAGAAAACAGATCGCCTGTGAACCCACAAAACCTGGAAGAATTCCGAAAGGACCCCGACGGACCCCATAAATCCCGGATTCAACCCCAAAAGAAGTACACCATAAACGATCCCCAGCGCTGTGAACCGTACTATATCATCCCCACGTCGGCAAACCTTCTGTAATCCCGCATAAAGCCTTCTCTAAGTCAGTCTGCCAGGAAGGTTTCAGTTTCCTACGTTGTCCCTACAGTAGGCTCCAGTTTCCTGAACTTTCGGTTACTAACCATATGTTAATAAACCACCAGTAACCCATAATTTAGGTAACCTGAGCCGTAAACTACGGCTGATGATATAAATCCTGGGTTACCCATCATAAGGAATATACCGTAATTCCCATAGTTTAGGGTCATTAAGGTATTGCAGGATTTATATCGTCCACCGGTTGATAAGATAAAATCCTGCATTACCCATCGTACAGAAAATCACATAGCTCCCATAGTCTAGGGTCCTTCAAGGAATGCAGGATTTGTATCATCAACCCTAAACCCTAAACCTCTTAGACCCCTTAAAGGATCCCCTTAATTAAAGATACCCTTATAGGTCCCTTTAAAGGAACCCTCGGCTTTATATCATGAACCGCAGGACAAAGCCTTGGCCCCTGAAACCCAGAGGCTCCTGATCTGGCGGAGCTCTGCAGGGCCGAAGCGCTCGATGTAGTCCTCCGGAGAAACATGCCTACCCAAACAACCTCTACCTTAAGAAATTATGCGTAGAAACCATAATGAGGAACCTGTTGAAAAGTAGCGAAAACCCTACCTTAAGTTTTTTTGCACAGAAACCATGACAAGGAGCAAGATGCCGGTAGGATTCTTCGGCTACAGGTAGACATACGAACATGACGACTTGTGCCATTCACGTATACATGTTACAGATGCACGAAAAGGCTTGTGTTGTCATGGTTGCTGTTCAAGACAGATCATGCTAAGTCTGGAAGTATCCTTTACACTCATGACATACATATCCATATACATATACATATATGTATCTATATATATATATATATGTAATTATATGTAATTATATCCATACACTCGGTGCTGCCTACCTCTCACCTTCCCCTCCCTCCCTCCCTCCCTCCCTCGGTATCTCTTCGCACGGGCGTAGTCTGTAGAAGCCACGAAAGGCTGCGGGAGCAAAATTCAGCTCCAAACTCTTGCTGCAGGGGCAACCCAAGAGCTGTTGAAGGGTACTTTTGTTGAGAGCATCTCTCGCTGTAACAGGGTCTAGGGTCTAGAGTCTACCCAGAGGCTTGATAGTAGTTCCTTTTTGTGGTTCATAGAATCCTATAAGGTAATCCAAAAAAGGAACTACTATGGAGCCTGTAGGTATATTCGCACCCACTCGGAAGCACAACTTCACTCTTGGTGTGCCCAGGCCTTCAAGGAGACATCCGACTGCGTCTCGCTCTGCCTCGGAGAGTCGTGTCAGAGCGGCGGCAGAATTTCGGGGTTAGCGAGGCCTTCAGCAATTGCGAGCAGCAGCTGTGGTATATAGTGATGAAGTGTGCTTCCCCTCAAAACCTTTGGGCAACGACCACTGCTGAAGTGGGAGGGTACGGGTTGGGGTTTGCGGGTTTCAAGGCCTCTTTTCAGGATTGGATGGAGTTGAGCATTCAACTACCTCCATCCGACAGAAACGGCCCGCAAATCCGGTATCCAGTAATTATGAGAGCTTCATGAAATGCAAGGCCGATTAAAAAAGGACCTCTTACCTTCAGAACTGCCTCAATCCCGTAGCATCCGCAAAAAGACTCCTAAAGCCCGAAACGGAAATAGAAGCCTGCGTGAATTGCCACTATTGTTCCTTGATGTTCCTCAACATAAATAAGCGATGCTTTTTGCAGCAGGCATCGTTGTTCAGCAGCCCGGTTACAGCAAGAGCCCCCCCTTTCCCCCGATTCCAAGGAGAGGAGTCGAGCTGACACTCGCGACAGTAAGGCCCCTAAATCAAGCTCGGATGACACCCACTGGAGCTCCATCCACCGTGGAACTGGCCGCCGGTGCTTCTTGCGGCCTGAAGGGCATTGCGCGGTTGAAGCTTAGGCATTAGGGTTCGCATGGTGTTCCAAAGTTTCAGAAGGTGGGGCTGAAACCCGAAAAGTGATCATGACAGCGGCAAACTGCGATGCCAATCGCAGCTGTAGCGTAGCAACCAAAGTTTGTGTACTCCGTGGCAGATGCTCAAAACCGAATGCCGACTCTCCAGAGGTAGTTTCAGACATCGACAAGCAGAAAAATAGAAGCTGGGGTCCCAAAACATGCAATGTACGCAATGTGCTCTGACCGGCGCTGGTTGAATTACAAAGGCTGCTCGTGCTCATCTGCGGAGGATGCATGTAGTCACCAACACCACTTTGCCACGTATTGCTGGCTTCACACGAGTCTCTTTCTTGGGTCACTGTCGCTAGTATTGCCGATGTGGCTTGTCAGGCTAGTCGAGCTACGATGAATACACAGACTACTCCCGGCAAGTCTGACCCTTTTGAACTGTTAGCTATAAAGATGATCCGAAGCCTCTAGCCCGGGGACGTGGTGTGAGTCCGATTCGTGACTCTGTTGCTTCGTGTTCATGAAGTTACAAGGCCACCATTATACTTCCATTTTTTGTGGCTCGCTAGTGCCCCTACTCAGACGAATGTTGCTGCTGACGCAAACAAGACAAATGCCGCGACGGCTTCAATCTGCTGCTGTCAAACTGAGATTGTAACAGACTCTTGGCTTGCCTGGCAAACTCCCACAGTCAAAATTCAACCCAAACCTGGATTTCCCAGCCTTCATGCTGGCTCGCTTCTGGGGGAACATCTTTGGATCCCAATGACCTGGAACGAAACCCAGTTAAGTGATCAGGCTTACAATAAATTAAGGTTCATCTGTCGGCTTGCGTTCTCAGATCAAGCAGCTTAAAGTTTTGGGGGGTTTCGAAGCGACGAGCAGTAGAACGACTCTCGAACCAGAAGAGAACTTGCAAGTGCTACAGTTTCCTTTCCTGATGTCTTGAAAAAGAAATTCGAGCTTCCATCGGGGTCTTAAGACATTCGACAATGATTTTTTGATGCAGCATGCTATAGCAAGTTGTTTAATTAGTTTCGGTGGTTTACGGTTTTGGGATTAGTGCTGCGGTTTTGTCTAGGGTTTAGGGGCGAAGCATACCCCGAAAATGACGTTCCCTCAAGCCCAATCCTCGTGAAACCCGCGTAGTGGGATCAAATCCTGGACCTAAAACAGTCACTGCTCGAGAGATGCACGTTTCCGCTTCATCCGGAAAAGCTGCCACATGGCATCGGCAAGATTTCTTTACGTGCACCATGCTGTCATGACACGTGTGTTTTCGAGCAAAGGCACACGAGCTTGTCAAGCTGATAGCGAATGTCGGCTTGCCGCAAGAAGTAGCCGAACAACGCAGACATGGCCTTGGCGTTTGTAGCGAGCCCCAAAAACCTTCCAGATTTTTCAGGGTGATAGCTACGACGCCCACGCCTAATCCCACCGTTTCATAGCCTTGAAACAGAAGGCTCGGGAAGATCAGGTTGTTCCCATAACACACACACACACACACAAAGTCCCCACCAGCAAGAGACAAAAAGCTGATTATTCCTGAGATATAGATGATATAGGTCTTAAAGGATCTCGTGCAGACGGCTTCTGCCATGATTTAAGGCCGCTGGCTTGCAGGGATTAGAGCGACTTTCCTGGTGGCCTCTTTACCATACCGGGCCCCCACTAACAATGGAATTACGAACCATGAATAATGCGCCTCCTGAAGTTTGGGTTTGGAGGTTGATTATTAGTTGGCACTAGGTATTTTTGCAGCGTTCCTCACGCCTTGCTATGCCCGATCGAAACAATGGAGTTATCCCAGCCAACTTAAAATATGGGTGGTTGTCAAGATTCTGACCCCTTCTGGAGTACCCTAAATCTTTTTTTGAGTCACGGGCTGGGGCCGGACGTTAAATCTTAGGTGCCGTATTATAATATGGACCCAAAAAGGGACCCTAATATTGACAACCACCCATATTGCGTTGTGCGAAGGAAAGAGAAGCGACCAACATCCGTACCAGGCCTGGCTCTGAATATCCCTGAATCCAGACCTTCCAAAATCCCTTAATTAAGGAATATACTTTAAATCATATTAGGGACCCTATTATAATTTAAGGTATAGTCCTTAATTAAGGGGTTTTGGAAGGTCTGGGTGAATCAGGTGTGGGCGTTGCAAGGCCCAAGGTTGTTTGAAATCCCAATCACGGAATCAAAGGCTCTGATAGCCCAAACTCTGACCTCACATCACCCAAGGCTCCTTCTAAAGCCTTCCTGTAAAATTTTCGTGGTCTAGGAGTTGTTGTTATAAAAATTGTTCTTTACAAAAAGTCAGTTTATATAAAAACAATCCCCAACGACAGCCGGGAGGCGTACACTTGGCTTGCCTGGTAGAGAGAGATTCGGAGAGCCGGAGCATTCGCACCCCGATCGGGAGCCTTTAGAGGGAGCTTTAGGGCACGAGGGTCTAAGTGCCTATACTGATAATCATATATTCTCCCAAATAGTAACCTACATAACTACTATCCGACACCTAAGTACCTTATTATTGGGTGTTTTGAACCCTTAGGGTTAGGGCTCGAGGGTCTTGCGCCGGGGGTTTGGGTGTGGGTGGCTCGTAACAACGGTCGCAGGATTTAGCTGAAAATTGAGCATTCCATCATCTCCGGAAGGAAGGGGCGCCAAAGAGAAGGCTCCAGATAGGCTTGGGCCCCAGAGAGAAGGCTCCAGATTAGATAGGCTTGAGCTTCCTTTTGGGGGGGGTCAGCTCTTGAACTGCAATCCTCCAGTTTAGGACTTTAGGGCAGTCTAGGCAGTCTAGGACGCTGTCTGGTTGGGGCTTGAGGGTCCATGCTAAGGGCGAACCCACTATTCTGAATGCTCAGGACCGTGCAGGCCTTGAACTTGACTACTCTAACAGAACACTTCCGATGGCTGTGGCGAGATTCCGATAAATCTGCCTGCACATCGATAATCTTGAAGAGGTGATCTCGCACCATTTCCAACCTGGGTTTAAGATGCGGACATCTCTCGCAACCCGTTATCATCATCAGCGGCAACCGCGAAACCGCGTAACCGTCACAAGGCTCAATATCCTCAGCATTATCATCAGCATTGCTGGTGGACTCACTGCGAACCATTGCCGTCTGATGCGGACGATGGTGCCGATGGTGGTTTTGTCGATGGTGGTTGCGATGACTATGTCTGCAATAGCGTGATTGCCTGTGACATTGACGCTCTTGGTGGTGGTGATGAGGTTGATATAGGAAATGCCTGGTGGCATTTCTTTCCTGTAACGTACAGTGTAGCAAGCGTCCCCAAAAATCAACCCCATCCATACACCATGTCCCATACACTTAAGCCCTGCAAACCCAGAACTTGTGGCACCAAAACAACACATAAGCCACACACGTAGGACGGTGACATCCCCTTCTCCTTGTAGCGAAGCCCAATCAGGCATGGATATCCTGATATATATATATATATGTATATATATATATATATATATATATATATTGCCATATATGCTTGTGCTCATGTTAGCTTCGGGGCCCCTAGATTTGACCCCACTGCAACCGAGTCGAGCATCGCTTCCATCGAGTAGATCTCCGTCAAGCCCTTCAGTTGCTCTCCACTCATGTCGAGCCTGATTGGCCAAACGAGCTGTTCTATGGCATTGTACGGTTTAGGGCTTCGAGGTCCCTAAACTTTTATGACTCTAAACCCTAGGTCCTAGGTACCATTTAGTATTGAGGGCAGGGATGGTACTACAAAACTATTCGTCCAAGGAGCTTGACCATGCCACCGCCGATAAGAGGAGGCATCAGTGGCACCTTCGGGGTGCTTGATAGCTGTGCTCCTTTGGGAATCTAGAATCGGAGGTTTCACAGGTAAAGAGAATTTTGGGCTTAGGGCCTTGCAGGCTTAAGGGTGAGAAGCGGCCTTTGCGGCTCTTAGGCTAGTGGATCAGGGCTTAAAACTACCTATAGGCTCCATAGTAGTTCCTGTTTGGGATTTCCATATAATTATAGGTTCTAAATAAGAACCACAAAGAGGAACTACCATCGAGCCTCTGGGTAGCTCCGGGACAGAGTGCCGCGGACCCCTAAGCCTTGACAAGTACACGCCACGCCCGGGTCGGCCCTACCCCGAAGATTGACCTTTAGGGTTCAAGGGTTTAGGGTTTAGGGGTTTAGGGTTTCGGGTTTAGGGGTTTACAGTAGGGTTCAGGGGATTAGGGTTTAGAGGTTTAGGGTTTAGGGTTTAGGGCTTAGGGGTTTGCAAAGGACCTTTGGGAAAAAGCCCCCTTTATGCCTTTCCGAGTCTTCTCAAAAAAGTGGAGCAACGCCCCGGCACCTCGAGGTACTTGAACATGCTGGCCACCATCAGGTACAACCTGGTTTACCTATAGTCCCCATTGTAGTCCCTTTTTTGGCTAACCAGTTTTAGGGTTAGGACCCTGTAAAAGAGATTTTGGTTAACCAAAAAAAGGAACTACAATGGAGACTATAGGTAAACAGAGAGTTCTCGAGTTTGGAGCTTAGGGGCTGGGCTTCTGGGGTGAGTTTTTTTTGAGAACCGAGGACTATAGGGCTCATATACCCCAGGCCCAGTTGAAGGGTGCAGAGGGGTCCTGGAACTCTACTTTCGGCGACGGAGCGCGTGAAGGCTTGCACAGAAGGCCCGCAGTCCCCTGAAACCCTGTGGGGCGAAAGCTCTAAGGCTTCATTTCCAGGGTTTGGGAGTTTAGGGTTTAGGAGAGAGGGTTCTGTGTGGAGAGTTCTCATAGAATCCTGAACACCCTTCTCAAACCACATGTTTCCGACTCCCAGCGAGGATGATCTGATCCTCTCTTATAGGTTCTAAATGCAGTGCAGCCACAGTTCCGCCGCAGTTCGGAACCTAGCAGGGCTGCAGCATGCATCGCTCGATGCCGTGTCCGCTAAACCCGACACAAGCAGTTTAGATAAGGACACATGCAAGCGCCAAGCGCTGCTTTACATAGAGCAAACGCAAGAGCTGCTGCTGCGGCAGATGGGCCGCAGGTACACAAGGGTCGCATATACAAGAAGACGAATTAACGGAAAGAAAACCCCTAGCGCCTTTCCGTACTCTGCCGGTCCCTGAAAGGATCACTCAAATGCCCACCGGTCCCTGAAAGGATCACTCAAATGCCCACCTCAAATCCTAAGCGGACTCAAGCCTACAGGCAGGAACTTGCAGAAACTCGAAGCCTAAGATGATGCGGCAGCTCCACATTCAACACTTAGCTTCCTTGCAAAGTACCTATGCAAAAGGGTGTCCATATCACACGAACCCACCCCCATACCCCGCGACCTCGACAGTGAAGTAACCCCGTAAACTAACCCCCTGAGCAATGCACGCCAAGTCACAGCTCCTGTCGCTTCACCTGCAAAATGCGCCTGCCTTGGCTCCCGTGCGGTTTTGGGAAGCTCGTAGCACCATGTAGCGGCTTATAGGGTTTATCGTATATAGGGCTTGTATGGTCTTTTATGTTTTATGCGATATAGGGCGCATATGGTTGAGAGTATATAGGGTTTGTAGCTATAGGGTTGAAAGTATGTTCCAACGACGAAGGCAATAGCAATGCTGCAAAGAAAGCCATGGGACGCAAAGATGCAAGGCCAAACGCCTCGCTAAGCGCCCCAGGCCTCACCAAAAGCTGGAAAGGACGATGCTCAAGGTCACGAAGGCGCTCGGGGATTACGATTTGAGGTTGGAGTAATTCTAAATTCGCGTCTACAGCCTCTGCGGTTTCGGGTTTCGGCACTCGCACTCGGACACTCCAGGCGAGGCATGTGGTCATAGGCCGGCTGTGTGAACCAATCGAGAGGTCATCGGGGATCAGACACGCACAAACACCGCCCCAACTAAAATACGAACCTACTGCTCCCCCACCAAAGCACCAGTCTTGTGAATGTCCACTGACGGACTTCGGCATAATCGCTAGGCATGGTCGTCACGAGAGGACTCGGCTGACACATATCAAGGAGGCCCTGGTACTGACCGTCGACGTGATACGCGGGACACCCGACGTAATTGAAGATTACTTAGCATTAAGGTTCAGGGTTGTGGTGTTTACTGTTGCGTTGTTTTTTGTATTTCTGGAGGGGCAAGCTCGGGTTTACGGGTTTAGGAGCCTAGGGATTATGGAGTAGAGCCTGTTTCGACAGTTTTATATGTTTTGGGGAGAGGGTTGGATACATGCAATCTGGTCAAGGGTCTTTGGGTTCCAGAGTTGCCGTCTCTAGGTACCCTCTGCACGAAGTGATTCCATCAAAAAAAGGCAGAGCGGAAAGAGAATGCCCAAAGCCCAGCCAGCAACTGAATGCAACCCGAAGCCCAAATCAACAGTCTGTAACACACCCAGAAGCATCCGGTAACGGTGCTGGGCTCAGGGCAGCTTTCATACGATATTGCAAAAAGAAGTCCTCCGTACAAGAGCTAGAGTACCAACTCAAAACCCATCTCAATGTCCTTGGCACAGATCCACAGCCCTCACGCGACACACTGAAGTTCACTGAAGTGATAAGCGAACGTACTTGCAGTTCGAAAGCCCGACGAGTCATTGATTCTGCACATTGAAATGTGGAATTCTGAACACATATAACTATCCGATGATCCCATATCCTGCTCCTTCAACATGTTTCCTGAGGCACGTACGGGCTCACGCGGGCTGTGTCCTTGGCTAGAGTTTGAGTTTAGCACGCATGAGCAGACGATGTGCTGCTGCGGGCAAGAGAGGGGAATCACAACGATCGTGTAAGCTGCCTCTCTCTCCCTGCTTTACATAGCGGATCAGGGGACATTGATCTTATCAACGTGTTCGACCATGTCCACCAACTGCGGCGGTGACTTCCAAAGCGTACGGGGCAACAACCCAGTCACTAATGGAACAGCTGACCCTGGCGACACCTGCAAAGAATAGAAAAAGTCATGCTCACCGCTGACGAGGGCATTCTGCCCATGCACGCATGCCATTGCAATGGCTTAAGGATGCCGCCAAGCTTCTGATTGCTCTTGCTGTTGTTTCAGGGCGGCCAGTATTCGGAACTCCTCCTTGACCTGAGATACTTTTAGGGATCAGGGTTTAGGGTCTACCTCATCACTTGTCCGCATTTCATATGAGGACTTGGTTGACCTTGAAAGCAATCAGTTATGTGTCCACGAACTGCCCCTGAGCTCAGAACTGTGTCGTCGAAGAGGACGAGCAGGGGATCATACTGCAGGTTCTTCCTCCCAAAAGCAAAAGGTCGCGGCATCTGACATACGATTCTGGGTCCACTGCAACACTTCACAGGCGCAGCCCGAAAGGGAACACGACATCATCCTACAGTTGAAAATCAAGTGTTCTTCTAGAAGGCTCCGGCAAGTTGTGTATAGTTGTTACCAGTGCGTGTTCTTGCTAGTCGCAGCGGGTGTGGCGGCGGCTCAAACTATCCGGGGAATAAGCGAGGCAGTTTTGTGCGGTTTGAGCGCTGCATTTTGCGGAGCAACACTAGTATTTCAATGGTACCTTGTCCCTAAAGGTTCGGGAGGTATAGGACTTTAAGTTTGTGAAGATCACCATATTACATTATCTCCTTTTGCAACGGGTTTCGGGATTTTCGAATGTCACACGCCTATCGTCTTTCCCAGCTGCCCAATGTGGAACCCTTCTGAACCGAACCACGAACCCCAAAAAGTATTAACCTCGGTAAACTTGCATAAACTCTAGTAAAACCGTAAGCCCCTGCTCTTTGAAAATGCCTTTCGTCCCTATACATGTCCTGCTTAACCACCACGAACGTCCCACAAATCGTAAACATAGCCGGAACTCATAAGACCCACCTATAACACCCCAACCCACACCCAAAAACACCCAATTCCCCAAGAGAACGGCTAGTAGAACCCTTCCAGAGCCTTTAGAATAGCCGTAGAAACACACCTGGACGCATATTACACCTTCCCTTACCCACCAGCCATGTAAAACCGAAACTAAAACACCAGAAAAACAAAGAGTTGCAAATCAGAAAATGCGAACACACTACAAACAAACAAGCAACCAACCAAGCAAACAAACCCCAAACCCTAACCCCTAAACTCGGTGAGCCCTATAAATCTAAAAACCCCATAGGCCCTTTTCTACAGACCCTTGACCCTTTTTCCCTCCTAGAAACCCTAGACCCCAAACCCAACCAAACAAAAACAATTTAAAAAAATCCGCGGCCGCGAGGCAGCGCGCGCTTCGCTGAGGAGGACTTCAGCTTCGCCGGCCCTGGGCTCCAGAGCTTCACGGCCTCGTCGCCTGAGGAGTTCCAGGCATTACAAGAAAAGGGGTTTCTATACAGTAATGATAGTAATCCAAATACGAATATGAATCACAATAATGAGAAAAGTCATACTAGTAGGGGTTTAGGGGTTAAGAGTGAGGACTTCAGGGTTTCGGGTTTGGGGTTAGAGTTAAGATTGGAGTTGGGGGGTCTAGTTTAGGGCCAAAAACGGGTTCCTACAAAGGTAACCTACAAAGGGGACTCGAAGGGTCTGTAGTTTTGTAACTGCCAAGGATGACTATGAGGGTACTAGAATCAGGGCAGCATCACGGTTTAGGGGTTTGGGGTTCAGGTGTAAGGGCAGGGCTTAGGGTAGCGAGTTTAGACTTTAGGCTTTTAGGGTTAAGGTTTAGAGTCGCTATGAAGATTGCGACGAATCATTACAAGGGGATTTTTTGTACAATCAAAAACGTTACTAGAAGGGTGCTGTAGTAAGGTGCCATGATTGAGGCTTCTAACAGGGTTCCTTTCAGCCTCACCGCCTAACGATTTGAGTTTGATGTTTAGGGGGTTTTGGGCACTGAGGGTTTGCGTGCAAGAGCCGTGTCTCTATAGGGTTTGGGTGGAGTTTAGGCCCGTTTAGGCCCTGGAAACTCAATGAGCATGCAAATTTAGGCTGTGGTTTGAAGTTTCGTCTGGTTTCGGGTCTTGAACTTGTACGAACTTCCGTTTGTGCGTGTGAAAGTGTTCATGGTTTCGTCCCTTGCTGCTTTGTGTGTTGTACATTGTAGATGTGAGAGCTTCGGGAAATGAGGGATCCGTTTTCAAATCAACAGTACTATATGGGCCTTAATAAGGGTAGGGTTTTGGGGCCGCTATACTATAGTCATAATAAGGAACCCCCAAAATAGTATAGGTACTGATTAAGGCCCCTATATTACGGACCCCCTTTGACCAAACCCTTCACCAGCAGCCCGGGGTTAAAGGCTCTTGGTACTCCTGGGATTGGGACGCCGGTCCTTTGTCTGGCTAAATGGACGGGCAAGGCAAGGCATGGGATTTCCGGCACTACGGCGTAAAAATTGCCAACACTATTTGTGGTTCCTGATTATATGGATTATATGGAATTATAGAGTGCAGAGCTTAAAACCCGATGCTAAAGATTAAGGCCCCTGAAGCACAGGGCTGTGAAATTTAGACAAGTCATGCAGCAGGCGGCACCCTCGAAGCACTCAGAGACTCCAATATCCCTTAATTAAGGAGTAGTCCGTAAATCATATAAAGGATCCTATTATAATTTAAGGTACATTCCTTACTTAAGGGATATTGGAGTCTCTGGGCACTCAACCCTGAAAGCTCATCTTGGAGACTTGGAACAGGGTCGCGAACAATATTCGGCTGATTCGCTGCCAAATGCTGTCACTGATAAAGAGCCTTACTAAATATACAAACCGGGATGCGCAGTTTGCATCATCGAAACTGAAACTGTAAGCCAAGACCATCCAAAACCCTCAGATCCTAGACGGTATCCCAGAATGATCCAGAATATGTTCTTCGATAGTATGCGATGAGCCTTCTCCTGCAGCTTGTAGCTGGGCTTCGCTTCCTCCAGTCCATTGTTCAGAGTCCCAAGACTCTTTACTCTGGGCTTCAGGGCTTCCGGATCTTCTCGAAGTTCTTTCAACTAGAAGGCTTCAAGATTCCCTGCCTAAGTTTACGTAAATCTCTCGGCACTTACAGCTCTTGTAGTCTTGGCCGGAAAATAAATCTCGGGCTTATGACGGTACTTGTTGCGACGGAGGGTCCCTTTCACTCCTTCAAAGGGACCCTGGGTCTAGTCTAGTAGGAGTTGTTAGTCGTCGAAAGGCTTTACTTACGGTGCCTTGTGGAACCATACGTTCTAGTCTCTTGACCTGATGTCCTCAGTAATAGCCGCCTAGAGAAGCAGAAACATGTGCGAAATGTGTCATCGAGCGACTATGTCTGTTTCCATCCCAAGGTGGGCCTGGTAGGCGTCAGAGATTGATCAGTGTAAATATTCTGATTCTGTGTTTATCCACAGTGCACCAACCCTGTAAGGTTTGACGGGATCCCGCAGCGAAGCTTTTAGGCTGTGCTGTCTCTCTATACCAACCCTGCTGACACAAACTAACTATGCTCAAAGGCCAACACCTCTTCGGTGTTTCGGCGCACACAACTCGGACAATCCAGGCGAGGCAAAGTCATTAAATGTTGAAAAGCATTTAAGGCCTGTGACTCCTACGTCCCACCTGTTGAAATTATACCAACATTATAGGGTGCGTCTTTCAGGCGCTATCGAGAAACGTCTGGCCGAGGTTGCTTCATTATTGGCTGTTCGTAGACCCTTCGCGGCATGCGCAGATAGGATCGGTGACGTTTACTTTTTGAAACAAACCGCCACCCATGATGACCCCTGCGAGTGCGACAGGATCAGACCGCGTCATCTAGGGTCCTGAAAAGTTGGAATAGGGCTTCAAGCATATATGATAGTTTTTACTCAACAACCCCTGAATAAAGATACTAATACTAGTAATAGAAATACTGATATCTCAATTTGAAGTCTTACGACCCTTCTAGTAGGGGGTGGGGCTTCAGTGACACCTCTCCCCATCCTCTCCGGCCTCTTCCCCAGAGAACCTCAGCACTTCCACAGAAGGCAGCTAGCCCACTTATAGGCTCCATAGTAGTTCCTTTTTGGGATTAGCTTATAGGATTCTAAATATGAACCACAAAGAGGAACTACTTTGGAGCCTCGGGGTAGATTCTTCTTCTCGAAACCCCTCATTCCAATATGAATCCACTACCCGATGCTAATCCAGAGGCAAAAATGAAAGCTGAAGCCCCCTAATAAGGTACGAGTTGAGATTTCCAGTCTACGATACATGCTCGCATAAAGGGGGTCGTGCAGATTCTGCACCATTGAAATTATCCGCGGCTTACGCTCTTAGAAGTTTAACTAGGTGTTCTGGATGCGCTTTAGTTCTAATTCTTAGCTCCCACAACCAAATCAGCTACACAGGCAGGCGCTTTCGATTTGTATAGGGAGCCCCTGCAGGGGGGGAGTTCTTGAAGGACATACATTAATATAAAGATCATTATGCCTTGGGGTCGGGCTTAGGGGACCGCTTCCAATCTTGCATACATGTATACAGAATATTCTTGCAAGGGTGTTGCAACACGTGCTGTGCGATGTCTGAGCAGTTCAGAATCTATTGGAAGTCCGAACGCTGTGCGATTGGTCGAAAGTTTCATACCAGGAAAGCAGCACAGAGCAAGCAACAATGTGGTCCGACATACCAAACAAGAGCTTCGTTGGAACGTTGCATGTACGAAATGGGATCATGGCGAAATCACACGGACTACACATGCTTGAAGCTCATGAGCCCGGGAATCAAGATGGAGTTTCCGAAAATAGAGAACCCGCATTTAGTACCCTACGTAGTAGGATCTTTTAATATAAGGACCCCGAAACAAGAAATTTTCGGTAACTCACAGATTTGGAAGAATCTCTGACTCCAAAACCCTGAAGGTCAAACACCTGAACATTCTCAAGAACGAAGGTCACTTCCATTTTTGTCAACATTTAGACTCAAGCACCTCCACAAGAACAACCCTACTGGAGCTGCGTCGCCTTCGGCCGCAGCACTTCCTCACGCGCAGCGAGGCTTACGGCGAAGGTCGACGCGAGCGTCTGGGTGAAACAATAAACGAGATACCTCGGCCGCGAGGACACAGGGATAGAAGGTCTGAAGCTTTCCTCCTGACACCACACACATGGGCAGATTCGAGGGCTGAAGCACATGCAAACTCATGTCCCCAGAACATTCAAGGAGGCTTTCAAACTCATTCGTAGGCTCCGTAAGTCAAGAACCTGCGGGATTGCCATCAAAACCGTGGACGTTGTTGAATGTCTGCAAATCGTCGAACCTTGACATAGTAGGGTTGGGAAACTACAGTACATCACACCAAACCAAGTATTCGTAAAGCTGCACGGGCCATTGCAGGGAAGTGTGCATAAACGAACCCGATGTCTAATTGGAAGCTGTCGTTCACATCTGACCATACATGTAAAAGCAACTTCGGGGGCGAACCTTGGGACGAAGATTATTAGTCGCGGGCTCCAAGGAAATCAAGCGCTTCTCATCACCGAAGTGGCAACACCAGGGGCAGCCACCAAGCCGTGAGTGAGACCTGCTCATGGCTCATCCGGGCTTCTGGCTTCGATACTCAGGCGCGGTCGTCACCACTGGCCATGTGCTGACAGCTGTAGGGTTGTAGCTCTACACCGATCTTGGACTATTCGGGGGCTATAGGGCGTCACTGCATCATGTTGAGGGTTGAGGTTTAAGATACATTCGGCTTCTATTAGACTTTGCGACCAGTGGATAGGGTGGTTTGTGAGGCTTTAGGGGTCCATAGCCTAAGAATCAAACCTACCCTCCACATATAAAGCTGTAAACCCAGATCCCAAACCGCTGATGGGAACCTTCTGCCGGATCGCTCCCTGCGAAGCCGTGGCGGGTGCCATGGCTCGAAGCGTTGGCATAGACATAGGGTTGAGGGATATCCTTCAGGGTCCATGGGGCCAATGATTAGACAGAGTTGGTTGTAAGCAAAATCGTAATGTATATAGCTTCACGTGGGCTCCCTGTGGCTGACAACCTGAAACCACTTGACCCTCAACTTGCAGAATCTTACAACTCCCGGGACCAACTCTACTGTGGACTCGACCGAAGGTTGAACGGTGTGTTTTGGGTGTTCGGATTTCCGAAGGCTGGGGTTTCAGGGGCTTTGGGGTTTTGAGCCTCTATATTATCTAAACAATCTCGACAGATGAGGTTGAGTCCTCCCAGGACAACCCTTTTTCAGCATGGGCTTGGATTGTGTGCCCAGGACAACCCTAAACCCGAAACGGCTTAGTTAGGGTTTATCTCTGTATAAGTTACGAACATCTACAGGCTACAAACCTCTGATTTGAATTCATGAACTTGCGGTTTCTTGTGGGCTTTATCATTCAGTGAAGTTATGCTGGCTGCATCCCTCAACCTGAGAACAAGCCAACGACGTCAATGCTTCAGCCTGAATCAGGAATCTAGGGGATATTGCGTGATTACGATAAATAATTCAAGTTTCTGCATTAACCCCTGCATTGAGCAAGTGCCGGGCCGAAACAGAGCTGCAGCCGCTCTGTGCAGATCCATTGAAGGTCACACCTCAGAAGTTTCTACGGTTATGTCAGGGCTCCTGAGGGATCTATAGCAAATAAATAGTTATGCGTAACTTAACATAATCAACAGGGTAGTGAGGGATCTAAAGTATATACACAGTATTGTTTAACTTATCATAATCAACAGGGACTAGAGTAAATAGTAGGGTTCCTTCTTGTGGTAACATAAATGAAACGTCTTTAACAAGCTCCGGCAGTGTAGGAATCCAAGGGTCCGAAGCGGATACCATGGCAGTAATCACATGCGCGACTCATGCAAAGGCTGCCAACACACAACCCGAAACAGTATAGTTTCGGTGATTTTGTCTTCTGAAGGCCTTTTGTTGCCTATGGTGTTTAGGGTTTAGGGGTTCCATACAGGAAAACGTGCAATGAGTAGCCTCGAGTTTGGGGGTATAGCATACTTGCTTTTATATCAAGGCGATAATTTAAAGCCCTTGTATAAGAAGAGTCTGCTTTCCCGTCTCAGCCCTAGGCTATAGGGGGCACGATTTCTCAGAAATTACGGTGCAGCGTGAAAGCCTCGGTCTGATACCATGAAAATCGTGCTCAAGCGCGACTGGTGTAGTTTTTCGGCCTGGATGAACGGAGGCACGATTTGGGGCAGAGTGAAGGGTTTATAAGCCCTTTCTTGCATATACTTGATTGTTTGTAAACCTGAGTCCTGAACCCGAACGTTCAAGCACGACGCCGGACACCTACACGAAGACCCCTGCGATGTTCCAGCACCACGGGCGCTTGCCGGAGGAAGCCGAAAGAGAGGGACATCGGGCTTTGAACTCTAAAGGCCTTACATCGTCAGAGACCCAACACCCTTCATCCTTTCCCCACAGCCCTGAAGCCCGAATACGTTTAAACCCGAAATGTCTAAACTGGACAGGAGCACGCTATACACAGCTTTTTGAAACCGTATGAGTAAGACTCCTTGTAGAAACTTACAAAACCTCGTGATGCCAGCTTAATAAGTCTAGAACCCTAAAACCCCCTTGAACACCTTTTATGCCATATCCTAACCTTCTAAGCCCTGAATCGTTTGGCAACAACTCACATGAGGAATCCGGGGAAGCTGCGGGCGTCGAAAACGGGAACTCTCAGTTCCTTATCCGGTGTCGAAAAGGTGTCGTAGCTCCTCGGCTTTACTTAAGTGCAGTTGGCCTTGGTCGCTTTTGGGTTTGACGAACCAGGTTTTGGGATTTAGAGCTTGTGCTTAGAGTTCGAGGGCTTTGCATACAGAAAAAGGGGTGGCTACTGGATGCTTTTTGAGGCTTTTAGGCTGTCCAAGTTTGGGTGGTTAGGTGGGGGTTGATGCTTTGAGGAATGCTTTTGCTAAGGGCTCCTAGGGTTTAGAGCTCAAAATCTCCAGGTTTCGAGTCAGGCGACTGTGACTCGAATTCCTGCATTTCAAGAGCTTCAATAGCTTTATCTTTGTGTGTAGGGCTTCACATTCCCTGGTGGTGCTACAAGGCACTGGCATCGACAGGCTTAAACCCTGTTTCTTCAGGACCCGACCCGAAACAAATCTTCCCCAACTTCGCCCCCAAAGACCAAGCCTAATTCCCATGAAGAACTAGACTATACGACACTCGAGTATCATCACAACTATACTATATAAACACCATTCACACAACCCGGCGCAAAACTTTCACTCACACAGGAACTTTAGACCTGCACTGCCTGCAGAAATTCGATGTCAAGAATCCCACGCACAAACAAGAAATGAGCCCTAAAGACATCGAGAGAATCTGCAGTATCTCTCCCCCTGCACATTCCTCCATACCTACCCTGCATCGGATTTCTTATAAGTGAGAACCTAGCTTCCCCCCCGCACGTTCCCTTGACATCGGTGTTCTTGTTGGTTCGGGGGCTTGTATCAGCTGTCCGCAATCAAAGGATTCTACAATGCACAGGCTTTAACTCGCGAAATCAGTATAGATGCCTCAGAACAACAGGGCGCTGAGGCCGCAACCCGGCGTCGGCAGACACATCCTCGAGCCGACAGCCTTCCGTTTCGCCTGCATCTTTCGACAAATCGAGAAATGCCCCTCCACCCGAAACATCCAACCCCAACCCCTTCATCTATCGCCCTACCTGCCCTAAATAACTACAGGTACGACTACCACCTTCCTGGTTGAGGCACACAGAGGATCCTGGTTGTTTTTCAGGTTGTTGGGTTTTGGTGACCAGGGATTCTGGGTGGACCGGTCCAAAGATTCCTCAAGAAGGCCCAACCAAATATTACAGAACCCTTCTGCAACCTTGTTCGAGCACCTTAAATGGCTCAACAACGAACATATCAACATATTCCCTAAACCCTTTTTGCATCCAGGCCTATTGCGACTGCCCTACTCTAAACCCCGAAACCCTAAACCCCTAAACCCCTAAACAAGCTCTGAACCCCTAGACCCCTAAACCCTATGCCCCAAACCCTAAACCCCTACACCCATAAACTTCTAGACAAACCCCTAAACCCTGAACCCCTAAACCCTACAGACCTCAAAGGAACGCCCAAAAAACCATCCTGGGCCTCCCTGGCCGGGATCTCCGTACTGCACTCGCCTTTCAGCAGTTGGGAAGATCGACTCGGGTTTGGGGTTTTGGGGTTTAGAGTTTATGGGGTTCAGGGGTTTAGGGATTTAGAGTTTAGGGTTTAGGGCTTGGGGTTTAGGGGTTTGGGGGTTAGGGGGTTTAGGGTTTACAGTTTATAAGGTTTAGGGTTTGGGGTTTAGGGGTTTAGGGTTTAGGATTTAGGGCTGGCCTGTAAGCTCCATTGCAATTCCTTTTTGTGGCTTATACTGAGGATCCTATTAGGTAACCCCGAAAAGGAACCACAATGGAGCATATGGCCTGTGGGTAAGTTGGGAAAAAGAGCGTTTGGGTGGAGTCTGGGGGCATTTTAGGGTGCATGTGGGTTTGGGGCTTTAGGATCATGCTGTTGGGGTTCACGTGGGGTTTCAACTCTGTTGGGGGTTTGAATGGGTTCAGTCTTCTTCAAAGCTCGAATGGGGCTGCAGCGCTTTAAGTTCGCTTTTTTGTTAAAGTTTAAGTCGGGTTTCGGGCTTTTGGGGTCTAAGCAGGATTTAAGGATCTAGGGTTTAAGTGTGGTTTACGTGTCTCAGGGTTTGAGGATGTAGTTACCCCTGAGGGCCTTAACAAGAGTTGAGTTAGGTTCAACCTTAAGCTACAAAAACCGACATTTTTGTAGGTTATGATGTTAAAACATCTTATGGGGCTTATAGTTCTAGGGACCCTACAAAAAAGTAGGTTTCGGCACTGTAGACCCTAAAACCTATTTAGAAATTTTGGAAAGAGGCTTCTCTAGAGTTCAGGGTTGGAGGGCTACCTCAGGCGCTCGCTATGGCTACCTTGAACTACAATTGTTGGCAGGCCTATAACTCGATATGAGGGTTTATGATAAGAGCATAAGAGTAGGTTATAATAGCTTGAATAGGGAGCCTCTCAACTATTGAACGAAAGCTTCTGGAAGGTCTTGTGTCATGGCTCCAGATTTGTGGTCGGGCTGGCCGCTGGCACTGACTAGTGTGCAATTACAGAGCAACAAAACGGACTTAAAGTTC